CCCTTCAGTACTACATTTACTGTTAGGCCTCTACAAAATCCTAGAGTACATAGTCAGGGTCTGAGAGTTCTAAGGTAACTTTTAGATTTGTAAAAAAGGCTTCTTACTACAAATCCTGCTTGTCACTCATTATTACTCTAATGACCTAACAGATATACTGTTGCTTCTACAGACAGTCCTTAATTTGGTGTCCTGACTTTCTGTAGACAAAGTATGCTCCTTACTTTCAGGCTTCTCTAATGTTTATCAGAACAGATTGATTGTAAATTATAGGCAGATTGATCTGAGGGCTCAGAACTGTCAGAGCCAGACACATGTGTAAACATTCTGTACAGACTTAATACATTTGAGCTACAGCTTGGTCAAAGGAAATGGCACACATCTTCTACTCAGTATAAGTGACTAGTTCTAGCATTATTCTAAGAATCTTATTAACCAGTTTCAGGTGAAGAGCTTTTTCAAGCATTCTAATAAGAACATTATCAAACCTAAGTATGAATCCTACCTTCTAGGCCAGAATATCAAACTCCTGAAAGAAGGCATTAGTGGAATGTTTGCCCTGTCACAGAGACACAAGCTTGTTCTACACATTGTACTTCTTATTCAGATTAATAAAGGAAGCACAGAGCTGCCCTATGAATTCTGAATACAACTCATTGTTCTAAAGTCAGATTAGGCTTCCAATCTAATGTCCTTCAATCCAGTTCTGGGCCCAGGTGGCTGTGTTGCCTTCCTTCATGAAGGAGAGGACAAATAGGACATGATTAAGATCTGAGAATAAATTGGTTAAAGTAGCAGCTATGTATAGTTCAACTTAGCACTAGAAGTCCTTAAAGTACTACTTATTAAAGTCTGAAGGGTAGGCTACATACACTTTCTTTCTAGAACAGGTTGTAACTTCCAGAACAATTAGAACAAGTTCTAAAGGGGCTGAGAGTATGTAGTTAGTAAAGGCCTCTTAGATAGAAGTCTATACATATTGAGCTAGTTCAGCTTGTAACTACTAATCTAGCAGGACAGTAGGGGTGACAGTTGGCATAGGAGGGTCCATGTTTACACTACAAAGGAATTAGCACTAAACTAAAAAGGGTAATAAATAGAAGAAGAGTAGTAAAAGTTTAAAAGGGTTTAAAAAGTTTAAAATTTAAAAATGTAAAAGGGTTGGGACAAAGAAAAGAGATCAACACAACAGTAAGTACTAATACTTGAAACATAGGAGAGTCATAGAGTAGTAATGGGTAGTCTTAATCTGATGTCAGCAACAGTATAGAGGGGACCTGAAGGCTCAGTGAGGGGACCTAGGCTACAACTATTCTACACAACAGAAATACAGAATGTAAGTACTAGAACATAGTTAGAACTTGTGGAACAGGTGGAGAGAGAGAGTGAGACAAGAGTAGGGTATATAGAGTGAGCCTAAGAGTACAGGACTACCTAGAGTAGACAAGATCAAGACTACAGGACTAGTCTGATCTTGTACACCTATATATACTAAACTACACAAGAGTACTCAGAGAGTATGAGCTACTAAGAATGATAAGCCACAAAGAATGAAAGAAAGGAAGGTCAAAGATAAAGGTACAAAGAATGAAGGGATAGACAAAGGGTAAGAGACTATAGAATGAACAAAGAATGAAGGGGTGGTCAAAGGAATAGAATGATAAAGTAAGGAAGGGTAGTAGTAAGAGTCAGCACACATATAGTCTATAGACAGCACCCTTAAGGGACAGAAGTCCTGAGTTCTAGTACAGAAGGGTGTGGAACCCTTAGAACTGAAGGTACAAGAGTAGAGAATTGTAACAATATTGTAGCAGAATTGGACAGAGTAGTAGCCAAGTTATGTATTACAGTATTTTGTTTAATTCTGTATTTTCCATGTTTACAATTAACAGTTCTAATCTTGTATCTCATCAAGGCTGTAGAACTAATGCTAGAAGATGTAGAACTGTACAGAACTAGTTGTAAGGATACAGATGATCTAGACAACTGTGCTTTAGATTCTATACTTGAAGTAGAACTAAGTACAGAAGTTACAGACTCCTGATCTGAGAATGTACAATTTTTCAATATACCCTCCTAGTCTTGTACAGGAAACTAAAACATAAGGATTGATTCCCTACCAGTAACACCTAACTGTTGTGCAAACCCTGTAAATACTGTGTTCAACCACAGTTCTGTATACTTTGTTACATTTTACATTCACATGCTTCTAATCTTTCATAACATTCCTTCTCATTTACAATAAAGTGTAAAAACCCATACAACAGTCTATAACTATAAAAAACCTTTATACAAATTATAATTCCTTTCTACTTATTCCTATTCTATTCTACTAGTTCTATACATTGAAACTCCTGTGAAGTGTCTAAGAGAAGATCACAGGTGATTTTGTTAAGTTCAAGGGGGAGCTAAACCATGAGTCTTAGGAGACTAGAGTGGTTCTGAACAGGTGTGAGTTCTTCTGGCACAGTTGCAACCTTGGAAGAGTGATGTGAATATCAGAAAGTGTACTTTGCAAAGCACACAACAAACAATCTGATACAGAAAATGATAAAGACTAAAACTATGCCTCATACTAGAGGACTTCAAGACAAGAGACAAGAGCTAAATCAATGGGTGAACTATCTGAATTCCCCCTGTATCTAGTACATGAGTAGCTGTATTTATAGTTTTCTGAGTTCTGGAAAAGCATAGTACTAACAGGGAAGTGTCATGACTGAACAAAAGAAAAATAACGAAATATACAAGAACAAATAAGAGAACCTTTTGCCAGAGGTTGGAAGAAAATAGGGTGAAAATGTATGAGGAAAATTTAAGTAGTCTGCATTCTAGCCACAGGAAATGTTATGCAAAAGGGAAAAGCAAGATTTACATTGAAAGAAATAGAAGGTTCTCATACTGTTATCATCTGATTGGTACAGACAAAGTGCAGAGAGTTCCGAGATTTCTGGCAGTCTCCTGAGATCAACACTTTGATTGCCCTGATGTCCTATCTGATTGGAAGATCACAGTACTTTGATCTGGGCAATGATGACATAATAGTTTGCTGAGCCACTCACTGTGACACAACTTGTGTTCTGAGCCTGTAATAAGCATGTGATCCATACATCCTGTGGAGAAAACAATGTATGTAAGCCAATTCTGAGACTGTACACTCTTACAGTTCTGTTTGCAAATGCTTGCAATGTAGAATAGTTGAGTGTTCTCAGAGTAGGCTTCTATGAGTCACATGGGTGTTCAGAATTGATTGCTGTGATTGTCTGCATGTGATGTACAGTTCTTAGTGTGATGCTGATTGTTTCATCTTCCAGCATGTCTGCTTGTGACTGTCCACAGTCACATGGTTGATTTAATGATTGGTAGGCTGAATGTAAGTTCTGTGTGTGTGTGAACATTGTTGCTTATTCTTCCTGCTTCCTTCCATCACTCTCACCATGTCATTGCTGCTCCCTAGCAAATCTGACAGTAAGTGTTGCACCCTTTTCCACTCTTTTTATACTGATTTTGTGATTTTCCTCAGAAATTGTATGTACAACAATGTAGTAGCCAGCAAGGGAATGGACATGGATGACAAGCTAGTTGAATGTACACTCAGTGAGTACCTCTGTGAAGTGCATTGTCTCTGGCTCATATGCTGATGTGCTCCACAGGTTCCAATGCAGAAAACAAACCAGAGGACAAGGTTGTAAAGGAGGAAACTGACAGATTGACTACAGATCCTGAGTCTGAAGACAAAGAGAGCTCAGACAATAATGCTCACAATGACAACAATTCAGAGGGCAAGGAGGTTTTGTCTGTGCCAGTGGAGGGTCAATCTGGCAGTAAGTCTCCTATTTCCTGATTTCTGATCTGTCTACTAACACAGAACATCTTGTAGATTGTAAGGCAACAGTAGAGGAGCTTGCAAAAGTAAAGGAGGACAAAGCTGCTGCTAGGGCTAAAGTGAAGGCAGAGGCCAAGAAAGTAACACAGGCTAAGGTTAAGGAAGAGGCTCAGGCCAAGGCAAAGAAGGAGAAGGAGAGGGGAAAGGAGAAGGAGAAGGAGAAGGCTACAGCCTTGGCACAGTCAGCAACAAAGTAGAAGGATAGGAAGGAAAAGGAGGGGTCCAAAGGTATGTGTGTAAGTATGGCTAACAAATTGTGTACAATAACTAACTGTTTACACAGGTTCTGATACTGTTACAAATGCAGAAAGGTCAAAGGTGGTAGTAGAAAAGGGGAACAAGCCAGGTACAAATTAAATGTATGGCTAACAAATTGTGTACTACTAATGTTGTTTTTGCCTAGTTCCTAAAGAAGTTGTAAAACTGGAAAAGAAAAAGCCAGTTATAGAGAAAGAGAAGGTTGATACAAGAAGGGATGGGAAGGAGAAATGAGTCATAGTCAGTAAGTACAAGTATGGCTAACAAATTGTACCAAGCTAATACAATGTTTCTCCTAGTTCCTCAAGTGGTTATGAAGCCAGAAAAGAAGAAAGAGGACAAAAGCAAGGAAAAAGGTAATGTGGATGAGGGGTAGTTGATTTTCTAAGTATACTGACTCCATTTTGTTGTCTAGAGCCAGTACTGGTGCTCCTGAGCAAGAAGCACACTATTGTAGAGGTGGAGATTCCAGTCTCTAGCAAGGAAACGTGTGCAAAAAACCAGAAGGTTGTGGTGGAGTCTTCAAGCAAGGAGGACAAGGATATCCCTCTGTTACAGTTCTCTACTCTTATACCTTCAGTTCCAAGGGTTCTGCACCCTTCTGTACCGGAACTCAGGACTTCTGTCCCTCAGGGGCACTGTCTATGAACTATATGCATGCTGACTCTTGCCACTACCCTTCCTTACTTCATCATTCCATTCCTTTGACCACCCCTTCATTCTTTGTATCATTCTATGGTCTCTTACCCTTTATCCATCCCTTCATTCTTTGTACCTTTATC